GACGCTGAAAACTACCGCGCCTCTCAAGAAATCTGACGCTGAAAACTACCGCGCCTCTCGAGAAATCTGACGCTGAAAACTACCGCGCCTCTCGACAAATATGACACTAAAAACTACCGCGCCTCTGGAGAAATCTAGCGCTGAAAACTACTCCGCCTCTGGAGTAATCTGACGCTGAAACTACTGCGCCTCTGGAGTAATCTGACGCTGAAACTACTGCGCCTCTGGAGTAATCTGATGCTGAAAACTACTGCGCCTCTGGAGTAATGTGACGCTGAAACTACTGCGCCTCTCGAGTAATCTGATGCTGAAAACTACTACGCCTCTGAAGTAATCTAACGCTGAAAACTACTGCGCCTCTGGAGTAATCTGACTCTGAAAACTATTGCGCCTCTGGAGTAATCTGACTTTGAAAACTACTGCGCCTCTGGAGTAATCTGACTCTGAAAACTACGCGCTTTTGGACTAATCTAACTCTGAAAACTACTGCGCCTCTAGAGTAATCTGACTCTGAAAACTACTGCGCCTCTGGAGAAATCTGACTTTGAAAACTACCGCGCCTCTCGAGAAATCTAACTATAAAAACTACTGCACCTCTGGAGAAATCTGACCCTGAAAACCACCGCGCCTCTCGAGAAATCTGACCCTGAACACTACGGCGCATCTCCAGAAATCTGACCCTGAAAACTACTGTCCCTCTGGAGTAATCTGATGCTGAAAACTCCTGCGCCTCTTGAGAAATCTGACGCTGAAAACTGCTGCGCCTTTGGACAAATCTGAGGCTGAAAACTGCTGCGCCTCTGGAGAAATCTGACGCTGAAAATTGCTGCGCCTCTGGAGAAATCTGACTCTGAAAACTGTTGCGCCTCAGGAGAAATCTGACTCTGAAAACTGGTGCGCCTCTGGAGAAATCTGACTCTGAAAATTGCTGCGCCTCTGAAAAATCTGACTCTGACAACTGCTGCGCCTCTGGAGAAACTACTGCGCCTCTCGAGAACTCTAACCCTGAAATCTGCCGCGCCTCTCGAGTAATCTGACGCTGAAAACTACTGCGCCTCTCGAGAACTCTGACTCTGAAAACTGTCGCGCCTCTCGAGTAATCAGACGCTGAAAACTACTGCGCCTCTCGAAAAATCAACTCTGAAAACTGGAGCCTCTGGAGAAATCTGACTCTGAAAGCTGGCGCGCCTCTCAAGTAATCTGACTCTGAAAACTACTGCGCCTCTCGAGAAATCTGATGCTGAAAACTACTGCGCCTCTGGAGTAATCTGACTCTGAAAACTACCGCCCCTCTAGAGTAATCTGACGCTGAAAACTAATGCGCCTCTGGAGTAATCTGATGCTGAAAACTACTGCCCCTCTGGAGTAATCTGACACTGAAAACTACTGCACCTCTGGAGTAATCTGACGCTGAAAACTCCTGCGCCTCTATAGAAAT